TGTAGAGAATTTGAAAATAAACTAAGAGATAAGAAATGTGTTAGTGGATGAAAAATCTTGGGTAGAAAAGTTGATCTTTCAAATCAGCAGAATGTCAACAAAGATGGCCGCCGCCACAGGGGAGGACAGTACCCCAGCAAAGGGATCTTTTGCAGGTTTCTCACAACAAGATGCAATGAAAGGTGGTTTTCTTGGCAGGTTAGTAATTATTGAGGACATGCTAAAGAATTATGAAGAAAAGGTTATTAAATTAGAACAAGAAAATGAAGGTCTCAAGATTGAGTTTTGTAATTTAAAAGGAAGTATTTTCCAGCGAGGTAACGAAATTTCCTGCTTGATTGATAAGGTAAGAATGCAGGAGGAACACATCAAGGAACTAATAAAGGATAATGAGGCATGGCAAGTGAAAAGTAGGGAATTTGAAGTAATTAACAAGAAAATACTCATATGGTGAACAACTCCAAGGGAGCCTGAGCGCTAACATGAAGTTAGGCAAGGAGATGCAACTGGAAACTTCATTGGCAACTCAAATAGAGGAGGCTAATAAAGAACTAGAGAAGTATAAAAAAAAAATAAGAGACATATGCACAAGTTGTAAAAGAGAAAGAGACAATCAAGGAAGTGTGTTCGGAAGTCAAACCCTGAAATGACCAACAAGAAGCAGAAATTAGGCAAGCAATTAGGAAAGAACTGGTTACCAACAGTAAACTAGTACAAAACACTGCAGATAGAAGTAAGTCCATTATAATTTTTGGATGTTTAGAGAAGGAAATTTCATCTAGGGTGGACCGAGCAGCAGAAGAGATGAAAATCATAGAGAAAATAGTAGGTTTAGGAGAAGGCTCAAAGGAAAATGTCAGTGATTTTAGAAGAATAGGAAAATATGAGAAAGACAAGAACCGCCCATTAAGGGTGATATTTAATGGAGTGAAAAACATGATGGAAGTGCTTAGAAATGCCAGGAAATTGCAGAGTGATGAAGATGGCAAACTTTGATCAATAAGACAAGACCTCTCAAAGGAAGACAGAGAAAAGCTGAAAATGAACCTAATTAAAGCAAAACGTCTAAATGGGGATAGAAATGAAGAAGACAAATTCTTTTTTCTACAAAGTGTCAGGGACTGGAAAGTTAGTGATGTGGTACATAAAAACAAGGCAAAAGCAGTAGTGGAAGGGGGAGTAAAGAGCAAAGGGAAAGGCAACATGTTCCTGAAAATTGTATATACCAACATAGATGGAATGAGGTCAAAAACTTTGGAGTTGCAAGATATAATTCAGCTTAGGGTCCCAGATATTGGCGCATTATCAGAGACGAAACTTGAAGGAAATATATTAAATAAAGTCATATTCCCAAGGGGCTATTCATTTTGGAAACATGACAGGAAAATTAGGAAGGGAGGAGGAGTGGCTGTGCTGGTGAAAGAACACCTGAAGGTAAGAGAGTTAATGTTTGAAAACCCTCGAGATATTGACATAATGGCATTGCAGGTCTGGAATCAGGATGATAAGCTGATAATTGTAAATACCTACAGCCCACCAGCAAGCAACACATGGACAAATTAAGAACTGGATGACAAGCGAGAGGGCCTCATAATGGTCATGAGAGATATTATTGTACAAGCAGATAAAGATAAATCACGACTGTTGATACTGGGGGACTTCAACTTTAGAGCAATAGACTGGGAGGCCTATGAAGCAAGAACGGAGGACTTTTGGACATGTAGATTTGTGAACCTCATTCTGGAGACATTCTTGTATCAATACATCAAGTAGGCCACAAGAATGAGGGAAGGAGATGTCCCGTCAGTACTGGATATAGTATTCACCAGGAAAGAAGAAGAGATATTTGACATCCAGTACCTTCCTCCCTTGGGAAAGAGTGATCACATCCTGTTAGACATTAAATATGCTTTAAGATATCATCTAGAAGACAATGGAGACATTGAAACAGTTGATAAACTCGATTTAAGGAGAGGTCACTATGGGGAACTTTAAAAAAAAATTAATGAGTGTGATTGGACAGACTTGTTGCTAGGCAGGGAAGTAAATGAAATGTATGCCAAATTTTGCAAAATATACGATGAAGGCACACAAACTTTTATACTGTGTTTGATCATGAAGAGTGATCACGTCCTCTTGGACATTAAATATGCTATGCTAAAGAATAATCTAGTAGAGAATGGGGACAGTGAAACAGTTGTTAAACTCGATTTCAAGAGAGGACACTATGGGAAATGTAGAAATTTTTTTCTTGGGTATAATTGGACAGACTTGTTGCTAGGCAAGGAAGTAAATGAGATGTATGCCAAATTTTGCACAATATATGATAAAGGCACACAAACATTCATACCAAAACAGACATGCAGACCTAGGAAACAGGGTTGGTTCAACAGAAATTGTGAGAGGGCCAGAGATCAAAAGACACAAGCATGGAATCATTACTGAAAGAGGCTAAACCCCCAAACATACCAGCGATATAAAGAGGCAAGAAACAACTACACGTCAGTAAGGAGAGAAGCAGAGAGGAACTTTGAGAACGGTATAGCAGACAAACGTAAATCAGCTCCAGGCCTTTTCTATAAATTCATTAAAAGCAAGCTGCAGATGAAGGATAATACTCAAAGGTTAAAAATGGGGGACAGATACACAGAAAATGAGAAGGAAATGTGTGAAACATTAAACGAAACATTCCAAAGTGTGTTTGTACAAAATGAGATTTTTTTTTGCGTGGTACAAAATGCGTGTTTTTTTTACTGTATTGTAGTACTCAATATACAGCAGAACTATATAATCAATGCAGTGCTAACTGCATAATACAGTACATATTTACTACAGTGGTACCTCAGAATACGAGTGTCCCTGTATACGAGTTTTTCGGAATACGAGCAGGATTCGCTCCAAAAATTTGCCTCGGAACACAAGTTTGTTGATACACATACAGGCCGACTAGCACGTGGTGGCACGGCGATCGCGCCTCAGTTTACCAGTGTCTTGCGCCCCGTAACTATCCCGCCTGAATTCTTCACAAGAATTTACAGTTTTTTGTCGTTTTTTTGGCCATTTGAGCATAAAAGTTATTATATATCTTGCCATGGGTCTCATGAAAACCATTGGTAAGGTTCAACCTAAGAAAATAGCTGTGAGTAGAGGCAGTAGAGGATGTCCCTTCTTGATTAAGAAAATGTGTGAAGTATGGGAAGAACTGCAAAGTTTTGTTGAAAAAACTCACCCAGATAAAGCTGTAGCAGGCCTTTGCATTGACCTTTTAAATGACAATGTGATGTCTTACTACAGACAAAGTGTTAAAATGTAGGGAAAAACAAGTGTCATTAGACAAATTCTTAGTAAGACAAGCAAGCAGTGAGCCACAAGCAGGTCCTAGTGGTATGCAGGCAAAACGTGCCAGAGTGTGCACACCAGTGAAGTCCTCACTGCCTGATGTTATAATGGAAGGGGACTCCCCTTCCAAACAGTAACACCTCTCCTTTTCCCTCTTCCTAAATCTTCTAAATCTAGAGCAGACACTTGCGAGATACTGTTCCCACGCTCAGTGCGCTCAACTCACACCAAAGTATCACCTGTGTACTTCTGTATATTCGTCCAAATATATATATAGTATCTTAGTGTCTGTGTTTATTGTCGCCATACTTTACGTAACAATAGAACCGTTACATTGGTACCTCAGAATACGAGTGTCCCTGTATACGAGTTTTTCGGAATACGAGCAGGATTCGCTCAAAAAATTTGCTCGGAAGGCTAGGGTTGCCTCGGAACACAAGTTTGTTGATACACGTACAGGCCGACTAGCACGTGGTGGCACGGCGATCGCGCCTCAGTTTACCAGTGTCTTGCGCCCCGTGACTATCCCACCTGAATTCTTCACAAGGATTTACAGTTTTTTGTCGTTTTTTTTGCCATTTGAGTAGGGAACGTGCCAGAGTGTGTACCAACGCTCAGTGCGCTCAACTCACACCAAAGTATCACCTGTGTACTTCTGTATATTCAACCAAATATATATATAGTATCTTATGTCTGTGTTTATTGTCACCAAGTAACACCTCTCCTCCTCCCTCTTCCTAAATCTTCTAAATCTAGAGCAGACACTTGCGAGATACTGTACCGACGCTCAGTGCGCTCAACTCACACCAAAGTATCACCTGTGCACTTGGTGTGCACACACTGGCACATTTTGTCTGCATACCACTAGGACTTGCTTGTCTTACTAAGAATCTGTCTAAAGACACTTGTTTTTCCCTACATTTTAACACTTTGTCTGTAGTAAGACATCACATTGTCATTTAAAAGGTCAATGCAACGGCCTGCTACAGCTTTATCTGGGTGAGTTTTGAGATTTGATCTCTGCCTGGTCGACGACTGGGCCGCGGGGACGCTAAGCCCCGGAAGCACCTCAAGGTAACCTCAAGGTAAGGTTCCTCACCATCTTCCATGTGCCAACAGCAGTCATCAGCAAGGGTAAGTAATAACTTGAACATAGTTTTGTAGGTTTATTTAGATGAATTAGGTATAAAATTTAGTTTGAAATGAGGGTTTTTGGGTAGTCAGGAACGGATTAATTCATTTCCCATTATTTCTTATGGGGAAATTAGCTTCGGATTACAAGTTTTCGGAATACGAGCTGTCTCCAGGAACAGATTAAACTCTTAAACCGAGGTACCACTGTATACAGTATTCACAACTCAATGAGAATTCAAGATGAACATAACTCTAATAATAGGGTAAATAAAACTATGATAGTATACTAAAATTATAAAGTATTTTTCAGTAGAGTAGTAATATATACGTACAATATATAATATGATAGTGCATTTTTATTGTGTACAAGAAAAAAAAGACACTGATTCAAATGCCTCCTGGAGGCATCACCTGTTGCAACAAATCCCTCAACGCAACGAACTGGGGCTGGTCCCAAATAGTTCGCTGAATCAAGGTCGCATTATAATTGTAAACTGATAGTTTTTTTTTTTTTTTTTTTTTTTTAGGAAGGCTGGTCTTACAGTGCTTAAGGAGGCCATCAGTCTGGCTCAGGAGAGTAGTGATCATGTTTGCTTGCAACATGCTTTAGCCTGGCTATACACTTTGTCTCCTACTCATAAGGTAAGCCTCTTCAGAACAGCATGTGCTGCTATATAATATTGTACAGTACAGTATTTAGTGTTATGTGGGTACAGAGCACCACTTGGTTTCCGAACTTTAGTTATCCGAAACTTCCAGTTTCCCGATTGGGGTTGGGGAGTCATGCTACCCGAACAAAGTTCGGGTAGGAAGGGGTCCGCCAAGCATCATGCCAGCCTATGGTGGTGGGTGGGAGATGATCCAGAATTGTCATAAGGCTGGAATGTTCATTCTGTGCTTTTGCTTTACATATCTGCACAATCAAGAAACATCTGTGCACCATGTTGGCTCCAAATGCACGCATTGTCAGTGATGGCTGACTGGTAGGTGGATGGGGGAGCTTAGGTGGGAGGCAGTATGAGAGAGGGGGGAGAATTAGTCAGAAAGGGAGGGAGGGAGGGATGCTAGGAGGGAGGGGAGGTAGGAGGCGATGCTAGGAGGGAGGGGGAGGTAGGGAGAGATGCTAGGAGGGAGGGGGAAGGTAGGGAGCAATGCTAGGAGGGAGGGGGAGGTAGGGAGAGATGGGAGGGGGGAGGTAGGGAGAGATGCTAGGAGGTAGGCAGGAAGGGAGGGAAGTAGTGAGAATTAGGGAGGGAGGGAAAGGCTGTCTGGCAGGCAGGCTGTCTGGCAGGCAGGCAGACTGGCAGGCAGGCAGGCTGGCTGGCAGGATGTGCCTGCAGGCTGGCTGGCAGGATGTGCCTGCAGGCTGGCTAGCTGGCAGGATGTGCCTGCAGGCAGGCTGGCTGGCAGGATGTGCCTGCAGGCTGGCTGGCTGGCAGGATGTGCCTGCAGGCTGGCTGGCTGGCAGGATGTGCCTGCAGGCTGGCTGGCTGGCAGGATGTGCCTGCAGGCTGGCTGGCTGGCAGGATGTGCCTGCAGGCTGGCTGGCTGGCAGGATGTGCCTGCAGGCTGGCTGGCTGGCAGGATGTGCCTGCAGGCTGGCTGGCTGGCAGGATGTGCCTGCAGGCTGGCTGGCTGGCAGGATGTGCCTGCAGGCTGGCTGGCTGGCAGGATGTGCCTGCAGGCTGGCTGGCTGGCAGGATGTGCCTGCAGGCTGGCTGGCTGGCAGGATGTGCCTGCAGGCTGGCTGGCTGGCAGGATGTGCCTGCAGGCTGGCTGGCTGGCAGGATGTGCCAGCAGGCTGGCTGGCTGGCAGGATGTGCCTGCAGGCTGGCTGGCTGGCAGGATGTGCCTGCAGGCTGGCTGGCTGGCAGGATGTGCCTGCAGGCTGGCTGGCTGGCAGGATGTGCCTGCAGGCTGGCTGGCTGGCAGGATGTGCCTGCAGGCTGGCTGGCTGGCAGGATGTGCCTGCAGGCTGGCTGGCTGGCAGGATGTGCCTGCAGGCTGGCTGGCTGGCAGGATGTGCCGGCAGGCTGGCTGGCTGGCTGGCAGGATGTGCCGGCAGGCTGGCTGGCTGGCTGGCAGGATGTGCCGGCAGGCTGGCTGGCTGGCTGGCAGGATGTGCCGGCAGGCTGGCTGGCTGGCAGGATGTGCCGGCAGGATGTGCCTGCAGGCTGGCTGGCTGGCAGGATGTGCCGGCAGGATGTGCCTGCAGGCTGGCTGGCTGGCAGGATGTGCCGGCAGGATGTGCCTGCAGGCTGGCTGGCTGGCAGGATGTGCCTGCAGGCTGGCTGGCTGGCAGGATGTGCCTGCAGGCTGGCTGGCTGGCAGGATGTGCCGGCAGGATGTGCCGGCAGGATGTGCCTGCAGGCTGGCTGGCTGGCAGGATGTGCCGGCAGGATGTGCCTGCAGGATGTGCCTGCAGGCTGGCTGGCAGGATGTGCCTGCAGGCTGGCTGGCAGGATGTGCCTGCAGGCTGACTGGCAGGAAACATCCAGAGGATGTTTGCCAGACGTCTTAATAATCAGCTAGGAACTATTAAGGAATTTTATAAAGCGGATCAGGACTTTACTTATTGGTGAGTACAAACAAAATACGGTCGCATTTACGCTATGAACCTGTCAATTTTTTCCTCTAGATTTTTTCATACATTTTTCGGAAAAATTTCTTTTTACATTTCTAGTTTATTTTTTCCCTCTATTTCTCGTTTACGAACTTACATGTTAACCAACGGATCTCGTCCCCAAGGGGTTCGGAAACCAAGTGGTGCTCTGTATAGGAAATATACTGCATAATCATTATCATTACTACCTTATTAGTTCACTTTCATTGTGTGGGAGGGCACTTGATCTCTAGTGAGGAGAGATTAGAGAAGATGGATCTGGTCTTCTTCCTTCCTTTTTATTACAGAGGGTAATGGGGCTTTGCACTATTGAGTATATATATTTCTCTGTGAAGGCATCCCCTGCCCTCCCTCAGAAGCTCCCCCAGAGCTTGCATACTGATACCACTAACCTTGAGGATGGTGCTAGACTGAGTACCACGCTGACCTATTGGAAGCCAGTACAAGAATCTGGCTCTGTATACAGAGCCAGATTCTTGGGAGGGAGCTTAGGGATCAAACATCTACCCTCAGTTGAGGAAACCAACCAGAAAGTTTAAGTAAAACAAAACAAGCTACTGCTTGAAAAAAAAGTTAACCATATCGAAAACAAGACAAACAAATGGTTACCATGAACAACTCTAATCCTGATGCACCCAGCCACTGACAGATGGTGGCCTCTCTCACCTTGTATTGTATGCCTCAGAGGCCTACTCAGGGACCTATTGCTGATTCCTTAGCTAAATGGTGTTTATTTTCCCTGGAATGGTTGTTCTGTCAGATGGGGGGGGGGGGATTGTTTTATTATTATTCATTTATTCTTCACGATTGTGTTTTATGTCTTCCACATTGTGTGTTCCTTCACCTTTACTGCACAGTGGCTTGGGCCAGGGTTTCCTTTCCTGGGAGCTGTTTTGAGTTTCCTTTGCTCCATCAGAGTTATCTTCTCCGAGAAGTTCAGGTTCCACCTCTACGAGTCTGTTCTCTCGAGTCATAGACTTGAGTTTATGTAGTTAACTGTGTGCTAGTGTATGTGTGCACTCGCCTATTTGTACTCGCCTATTTGTGCTTGCAGGATCGAGCATTGGCTCTTGGATCCTGCCTTTCTAGCCGCCGGTTGTTTAAAGCAATGACTCCTGTCCTATTTCCCTATCATATCTAGTTTTAAAATTATGAGTAAAGTTTGCTTCTACAACCTATTTACACAGAAGAATAACATACTGGAAATACAGAATAGAACCCGTTAAGAGCAGAGGTGGCATAGACACAATCATTGAGCACTCTCTAAACATCAGAAGTCCACGGCTGTTCAATATCCTCCCGGCAAGCATTAGAATTATTGCTAAATCAAAGGTGGATGTCTTCAATGCTGGACCAACCAGGTTATAGTGGATATGTAGGCCTATTTGCTGCTCCAAGCAACAGCCTCTTGAACCAAGCTACCACAAGTTGAGCCTGGCCCTACACTGGGCTTGGGGAGAACAAGAACTCTTGAAACCGTCTCCAGGTATGCTCCAGGTTAAGATGTGGGTTCCATGCTGGAGCTGCATACTCAAGTAATGTTCTCACATAGGCATTGTGTATGGATCACTACCTCCTTGTTTAGATTCTTAAGCGGCCGGGAAATGAAAAATATTGACTAAAAATCTAATATTTTCGAAACATTCCATTGAAATTGTGTGGGGTGTGGCATCAGAGTCGCGAAAAGATCATTCTAATACAGTACAACCTCGATTCAACGCACTATATGGGACCAACCCCAGTGCGTTGGATGCATTGCAAGAGGTGACCTTCAGGGTGCATTTGCGTCAGTGTCTTTGTTTTTCTTGAACACAATAAAAATACATTATCATATTATATACTGTACCTATATATTATTACCCTACTTAAAAATACTTTGTAACATTTGTTATTTACCTTATTGTTGGACTTATGTCCATCCTGAAGTATCGTGGAGTTGTGAATACTGTACAGTAAATACGTACTGTAGTGTATTATGCAGTTAACACTGTGTTGATTAATACAGTATGGGTGAGAGGTTTGGCACCATCGCCTGGTCAGCAATTCTGCCCTCCGCCTTCATAACCACCACCACTCTCCCTGCCTCCCTCAACACCACCCCCTCCCTGCCTCCCTCAACTCCACCCCTCTCCCTGCCTCCCTCAACACCACCCCTCTCCCTGCCTCCCTCAACTCCACCCCTCTCCCTGCCTCCCTCAACTCCACCCCTCTCCCTGCCTCCCTCAACTCCACCCCTCTCCCTGCCTCCCTCAACACCACCCCTCTCCCTGCCTCCCTCAACTCCACCCCTCTCCCTGCCTCCCTCAACTCCACCCCTCTCCCTGCCTCCCTCAACTCCACCCCTCTCCCTGCCTCCCTCAACACCACCACTCTCCCTGCCTCCCTCAACACCACTCCTCTCCCTACCTCCCTCAACACCACCCCTCTCCCTGCCTCCCTCAACACCACCACTCTCCCTGCCTCCCTCAACACCACTCCTCTCCCTGCCTCCCTCATCACCACCCCTCTCCCTGCCTCCCTCAACACCACCACTCTCCCTGCCTCCCTCAACACCACCCCTCTCCCTGCCTCCCTCATCACCACCCCTCTCCCTGCCTCTCCTCCTCAATGCCTCCCTCTATCAATCACTGCGTCCCATCCCTCCCTCAATGCCTTGGAGGTCGGTGGCCTGTTGCCATTTGAGGGCCCACCGATGCAAAAACAAACTCAATACCGACCTTCGGTAATATCGACCGCCAGACCGGTATATGAGGCTCCATATACTGGTCTCTCAAACTGGACGTTATTACTGGCAGACCGGAATAAAAGAGGCCGTTAAATTGAGTGGATACTTTTCGGTCTGCTCACCTTAATTTTCCATGTATGGATTTAAATTTGGTATCGATTTGTTCGCAAGAGAATGCTCTAGAGGAATATATATGTAAAATTTCACCAAAGCCGACGTGAGACCCGCACCACATAAAAAACCTGGCGATCATTAGCCATGAGCGCCAAACAGCGATGAAATGTTTATGCTCTTTTCAGGTTTGCCAACCCCAGAATTGTTCCACATCGTTAATTTTGGTATCACTGTGATCACAATAAAGTTCCGTACACAGACATGAAAATAAAGTACAAAACATGGGCACGCCCCACCCGCAAGACCGTGGGAAGTTGCCCAAGGGCCACCCGCTACTGCACGCCCAACTGCACATGGGCTACACCCATACTGTACTGAAAAGTTTATACTCTTTTCGTGTTTTTGACCGTAATTTTCGATGTACGTGTTTCATTTTGGTATCAATGTGTTCTCGATGAAATGCTCTAGACGAACATATGTATAACATGTCACCAAAGCTAACGTGATGCCGGCACCAAATAAAAAAGTAAGTCGTTTGTTAGCTGTGCACGCCAAACAGCGCGAACATGTTGCTACTCTTTTCAAATATATCAAGTCCAAACTTGTTCGACATCGTTCTTTTTTTTTTATCACTGCGATAGCAATAAAATTCCCTACACAGACATAGCATATAAATTAGACAACATGGGGGCGCATAACCCGCAACAACCCCTAAAGTCGCTGAAGCGTTAACCGCTAGAGCACACTCATTGCGACACGCACTACACCCAATACATCTGACAAACACTTACGGTTTACTAACAGAAGTTTTTGTGCTACATTGTTCATTGTGGTATCAAGTTATTCTCAATAAAATGCTCTAAATAGAAAAACAAATATAAGCAATCACAACCGCAATATATATAAGCAATACCAATAACAAATTATAAATCGGTAATATATTTATAAAAACTTATACAAAGTTTTTGTACTTGCCTTCCTATGGAATCATGATGGTAGAGCAATAAGTTGAGCATTTTGTGATTCACTCCACCTTCTTCAGGAAAATGTTCTTGAAATTGCTCAACAGATGTTTCGTAGGTGGAGTGAATGTGTGCAGAGGCGTTATTTTGGTACCACCCAAAATACCCTCTTGCGGTGATATTTTGTGTAGCTGGGGGTCGGACACAGTGCAACTCCACATTTCTTGGACTGATACCTGGCGTCCATTATTCTTCCAGACTTGTAGCAAACACAACACCTTCGACGTTTTGCGAGTTTGACGATGGCATGGATCACGTTCTTATTGAGACGAATTTCTGAATCCACAATACGTTGCCTTTTCTTAGGAGGAGGAGGACGACTGGTACTAGGAGCCGCTTCAGGTTCTGAGTCAGATGAGGTGTCAATGGAAATAGAGGACGCCTCACACCAGATGGTCCTGGTCTGTCAACATTGCCATCATCAGCTGCTGGTCCTGGTCAGCCAACGTTGCCATCATCAGCTGCTGGTCCTGGTCGGCCAACATTGCCATCATCAGCATTTATATCTGGAGCATGTGGGATGGGGTTATCTGTGTTGGGCCACTCATCATTTTCAAACTTCAACAAAGATGTGTGCAGTGTGCATCTCAAGAGGACCATATTGTTACCTCATGAAACTGGAGCAATGTCATTTTTTTCTGATCACTGCTGTAGTTCTTGTATAACACATATGCATTATGGAGAGCCATTTGTAGGAAATAAAAGGTAATTTTTTTTGGTCCACTTGTGACTTTTTCGGGTGAACTTGTAATATTTGACCATTTGGTCAAAGTGATCAACACCCTTCATGTAGGTATTGTAGTCACATATTGCTTTGGTTTGTTTATAGTTACAAGGCTCACTGAAGTTGTTCCATCACGTTTCCGCACTCTTTTCTTTCGTTCGACTTCCTGTGTGTCAGCATTGTGGCAGTTTGTGATTAGTGAGACGACTTGCTTGTCTTTCCACAGGCCACAGGATTATAAATGTATAATCCTTGTGACTGAATACGGTTTTATCCATGGGAATTTTACACTTTGCTTGCTGTTGCAGAGCCTTGGGGGTGCCACGCGGTAATTCGATGGTTCCACACGTGTAAACACCATGTTGATGTAGCTGTTCTGTGAGGTTGACAGAGTTATAGTAGTTATCCATATACAAATGATAACCCTGGTGCATTAGGGGATGAATCAAGCCCATGACTCTCTCCACTGTTGTTTTACCAATCCCGACATACACCTCAAAGTCATATACAGTGGCACCTCGACATACGATTGCCCCTACTTACGATAATTTCGAGTTACAATATATATTTCATCAAAAAATGCGACTCGACATCCGATGGTGTCGTCGACATCCGATATTTGTTGGTACACGTTCGGGTCGGCCGAGCACGTGGTTCCCGGTCACGTGGTCCGACCTGCCTCAGTTTACTACATCTACCCTCTTAGTGACGATCGCGCCTATAAGAAATTCAGCTTTTGTGGTGATTTTTTGCATTTTGAACATTAAAGTAATTATTATATATCACACCATGAGTCCCAGGAAAGTCAGTGGTAAGGCTCAACATATGAGATCCCATGTAAGAATGACCATAGAGCAGAAACAAGAGATCATTCGTAAATATGAAGATGGTGTGCGGGTAGGTGAACTGGCTAGGCAGTACAACACATCTCAGTCAACGATATCCACCATACTGGCTAAGGACATTATGGGTGCTAAAGTGATGCATCATTACAGACAAATGTTAAAACAAAGGGAAAAACAAATGTCTCTTGACAAATTTGTAGTGAGACAAACAAGCACTGAACCACAACCAGGTCCTAGTGGTGTTCAGGCAAAACGTAGGAGAGAGAGTACCCCAGAGAAAACATCACTGCCTGATATGATAATGGAAGGGGACTCCCCTTCCAAACAGTAACAACTCTCCTCCTCCCCCCTCATCATCATCTTCCATACGCCATCAAGAGCCCTCCATAAAGGTAAGAGAAACTTTGGTACTGTATTGTAGTTAGAAAAAAACATTGTATTCAGTATAAAATGTATTTTTATGTTAATATTTTGGAGGGTGGGGAACGGATTAATTCAAATCCCTTTATTTCTTATGGGAAAATTTGCTTCGACTTCCGATATTTCGACTTTCGATCCGTCTCTGGGAACGGATTAGCATCGGAAGTCGAGGCCCCATTGTATGTAGCCCGATGTCGATTCAGCAAGCATGTACAGTTTTATTCCTTACTTATCAGGCTTGTTTGGATTATAAACCTTGAAGGATAATTGCCCATGCCATGACATTGTTCCTTCATCCAAACTCAATTCTTTCCTAGGAATATATACTTGTGAAAATTTGCCTGTAAGATATTTACAGGCAAATACCAGACTTCGCGTCTGGTATTTTTGTTTGACTCGGGTCTATCACCATCTGTATGGTGATCAGGTGGCTTCGTTAATGGTGTCCCACCTGCATGCTTTGTCTCAGCGGCAGTATGAAGTTTCCTGGCAGTCCTTCCGTTTCGTTTTGTTGCTACATAGGTGTTCTTCCCTTTCTGTGCAGGTGATCTTGACCTTTCCTCTCGTGGCTGTTTCAGGACCGTCATCTTGTGTCGAATACTGTCGCCTCGTATTGTGTGGCACTGGCGGAGCCGCTGCAGTTTGCTTTCGGAACTGATGTTACTTCTGCGCCCTTTCGCAAGCTGTCTTGGGCATTGTGTCACCTCCGACCTGCTGATGCACCACCTGAGCCATCCTGGTCGTTGGACAGGGTGCTCTCTCATCTATCTTCCCCTCGGTTTGTCGTGGCCCCTTTGGTTCAGGATTGTCTCTCCAAGGCTCTCTTCTCCTGTTGGCATTGGCCTCTGGGGGTCGGGTCAGAGAGCTTCATGCTCTCCTCCGGTGCAGGGGTTACTGCTCTATTGGCTCTGGTGATAGGTTTGTTCATTTGCAGCTGTCGCCTTCTTTTCTGGCAAAGAATGAGACCACTGCATTCTGGAGGGGTCCTTGGGTTGTTGATGCTTGGTTTGTCAAGCCGGGGGTGCATCATGTGTTGTGTTCGGTTGTGCCTCTCCGCCATTATTTGCGCGCCACGGCTTCTATGTCCATGGACACGCTTTGGATTGATCTGGTTTCCCTTCTTCCCAGTTGTAGGGTTCGGGTCTTCCAGGTCATCTCAGGGTTATTCCGTCTAGCCAGCCTGCGGTCTTTCCCCGTTCCCACAACGTTCACTAGTCTATACTCTAGTGCTTCATATGTTCCCTTTCTTGAAGGGGAAAAAGGGCATCCACATTTCCTGAAAATATGATTAATTGAAATTTAATGTTGAAATATGTGTATTACAAAGCAATGTTGAATAGTAAAAAATGTATATTGCATGTAATAAAATGTTCATGATGAATTCATATTTCAGGCTCAGTTGATGAGACGCTCTATGGTTAAAAGCAGTGAGCTCTCACTAAGCTATCTTCGTTCGTTAGGTCGCCTCAATCATGCAGCTCAACTTGCTCACACTAGAGCAACACCTGCATACCTTTTACAGGTTAGTTGATCACTTCAGTTTGTTATGTTACTGTGTTGAAATTTGTCTAAAATGTATTGTAACTACGCATCTCTTAGGAACACCATTCAGGGTGAATTTATGCCCCTCTCCCATGTGTCTATAAGGAAATAAAGTCCACTACGGGCTCACCATAGCCCATGCTACTTGGAACTTTTTGCTCCGGGTAGCTGAATCTAAAACAACAAACAAAGAAATGTAATGTTATATCTAGTGTCATTTAGTTCACAGGTGAATGTACGAATCAGCTTCATGCCATACATTTGTGGCAGGAGTACTTGATACAATGCATGGTCATTGTGTACGTGTATGTGCTGTTTCTCTTAACTCGGTGCCCATTAATGTGAAATGTAATTTTGTCTTTTCCAGAGTATAGTAAGAGCAGAGGCACTGAACTGTCAGCACAGCTTAGTTTCACTACAACATGGAGCATGGGCACTACGTGCAGCACTCTGGGCCAATTGGGGAGTGTCCACAATGACTGCCTTAGCTTCACAGTTACTACTCCACCTAAACACTCACCATCCTACAAATCCAACAATGTTCTACTCTGCACAACCGACATGCGCTGCTGTATGCAATATTGCTATCGGCCTTGCAAATTTGGTAAAAAGACAATTTCAGTGCATGTAAATATTTATAGTAATTATAAGAAAAAATATATATTGCTTTTTATTGCTTATGGAAATTAGATTGTTACAATCATAATTTTTTAAATTCACGTCTAGAGAATGCCTTATGATTCTGCTACTTTTCTAGTCAAACTAGACACTGGTGGGATTCCATTAAACTCTCATTAGTAACTATGACATGTGCCTTCACATGTTAAGGCATGAAGAATATGAGTATTAGAGATTAACCATATACTGAAGCAAAAATGCAATGGAAAAAAAAGGCAACTAATCTCCCTCTGAGAATTTTTTAGGAAAAAGTGTCAAACTACCAAAATAGCAAACAATCCCAACTATTTTCCCCCATCCATTTATCATGGATGAATTTTTACCAAAATGCTAAGTGATCAGTTGCTGCTTTGACCTTATGGTCCATTGGAAGTGTTATATGCTATTCACCCTTAATGTGTTTGTAAATCTGTTCACATTCTCTTTCTTTTTGCCACAATTACCTTGGCTTATAATTTAGGTCAGGGATATAAAACTTGTTTGTTGTTGCAGGCCACATTTTATATGATTTTACATCTAGCCATGTAAAAGCTAGGGAGGACCTTTTCCCTCCAGGGGCAAGCTTGAAGCATTCATAAAATGAAGAAAACAGTACAGATAATAATAACATTAACTTATTTACTTAACATTACTCACTTAAACCTTTAACTGCGCAACGCGCCTGCAGGCCCAGGCTTCGGGTGCGCAATGCACCTCCGGGTGTTTTTATTTTTCACGTTCCATTCAAAACTCCCGCGGCTCACATCAGCTTCCTTAGGGCTCTTGTAAACAGACGCCATCTTTAAAAAAATCCTGGCCCACATTGCCGGGTGTCAGAGCCTCAGTAGTGAGTGAGTAACCAAAGCTGGCACTCGCAGCATGAGCGCACAGCACTGCTGTTCAGCGTGTGACCACAGCATCGCCTAATATTGTCAAAATATATATATAATCTGTTTTATTTAGCCATGATAGTATTATAGAAGAGCCCGAGTGTGATAATGACTGGGTACAATGTTCAAATATCAGTGATTCAATGCTGTTCACGATGTTCAAAGTGCTAGCCACAGCACCACAGCATTATTTCGTCCATCTAGGAATCTTCAAACGACTTTTTAGGTTCCTTTTCAAAATAAACTTGTGGTCAATTATTCGTTTACAGGTATTAGTGACCAGGATTGTGGTTATAATTAGCGTTGTGCATAGGAAGGAGGAATTTTGGTGAGGAAGGGAGAGAATTGAGGTAGCCTCACTGTGTGGCAGTAACTCTTGTTTTGCTCACCATACTAGCTTCGTGGTTCGCTATGGGGAACACACATGTACATGGGTATATACAGTGTGTGTGAGTAGTGTAATAACAGCACCAGGAGTATGTTGTGAGGAGCTATTTTGGTTAGGGAGGTGACGTCGTAATCGTGGCGTCGTCTGCTGTGTGATTTGTCATGCAGTGTATGGTGGCCACTGTTTGGACACAATACCAGCTTACTTGCATAGTTCTGGTAAATAAAACATGTAGATAGGTATATATAACATGTGTAAATAGTGTAATAAATACAATAACAGTATGGTGGGAGGAGCAATGTTGGCGAGTAAGATGTTGGTGTGAGGGAGACTGGCTGGGTGTGGCTGCTCACACTCGCGGTGTTCTGAGTGTGTTGATGGTGAATGTATATAGTGTGTGACAGTGTATAGTGTGTACATTTGTTGTAAATATACATAAATGAACATGAAACATTGGTGTGAATAACTGTATGATTTGGAGGAGTAATGTTGGTGAATACAATGTTGGAGGAGTGAGTGAGACTGGCTGGGTGTGACAGCTCACACTCGCGGTGTTCTGAATGTGTTGATGGTGAATGTATATAGTGTGTGACAGTGTATAGTCTGTAAATAGATTGTATATATACATAAATTAGCATGATACATGGTAAATATGTGCAACATATGTGTACAAAAGTGTCATGCACGTAACACAATGTCCTCGGACAGTACGGATGTTTTACTGCCATAATATAGTGTACGTGTTCATTATACACAGGATTAGCACATAAAAACAAATAAAATGTATTTGTAACTGTGCGCAAAAAATGAACAAAAATATATTCGCGGCAACTCACGCGCCCCGCCCCAGGAGCTTACAGCACGGGCGAACGGGGAATGATGACGTCACGCGCCAACTTACAGACCCCATAGCAGCCAAAGTAAGTACAAGTTCGAAAGTTTTTTGACATACCCATACTGAGGGAAGGGTTTTTGACACTTGAATTATTATTTTTTTTTTTTTTTTTATGAAGAGAATTTATTTCCTGCACACTGGGGGGGTGTCATATTTATAGGCCGCACAGTTAAAGGGTTAACATTAAAAATAACTAGGTATTACTGCTTCCTGATACTTGGTATTCTTGATCGGATGCATTGCATCAAAGCTTAGTATATGTAAATGTAAATGACTGGGCTATAGCAACTTCTAGAATTGAATTCAGAAGTGTATAAATAAATTAAAAAAGATGCCAAGATTTGTTAATGTTCAATACAGAAAACAGTTGTTCACTTACCTACATGCTGTTGAAGTAACAAGTGCATTACATTATATGAACAACAGAAGTTCACAGCTTTTCAACCTCCTCCACCTCCATTCTCACAATATAAGAATTATTTCCAGAACAAAAATGGGATTTTTAAAGAAGAAATTGGACTAGTTTCTCGAGGAAATTTTAGATGAGATTGGTTGTGAGGAGTATGAGGGCCATTGTGCTGCTGCAGGCATCATTCTCATAGATCAAGGGAATAACATACAGGGTTGCATACAGCATACAGTACATGTAATGGCAAGAAGGATTGGAAAAACAGGTTGGAACCCGAAGGCACGGAGTTCATTAACCCTTCAATTGCGCATCGCATCATATGATGCTTTGACCGACTTGCAGTAAATTGCGCATCGCATCATGTGATGCTTTGGAGTACTACGCAAAATTTAAACGGCCCGCGGATACACAGGGTTCACCACACCTTCATCAGGGCTCTTGTAAACAGACGCCATTTTAAAAAAAAATCGTGGGCCAAACTTCACCCGAAAAGGAGACTTCAGCAAACAAACAACCTACCACCAGGACCACACGAGCAGAAAACACACACCAGAACCAAAGGGGTCACGACGAACTGAGAAGAAAGAAGATGGACTACCCGGGCCAACAATCAGGATGGCATCAGAAGCGCATGATCAGGCCGGAGGTGAAAAACAAACTAGTCAGATAACGGAATGGAGCAGAAGGAACAGCAACACCGAACGCAAGCTGGAGCGGCCTCACCAGCGCCGCCCAATACGAGGTGACAGTATGTTACGGCCCTCTCGGGACGCAACGGGGTTCTTACTCTGATGTTATTAGAGGAAGTAGTATCCGGCCCCAAGCCAGTAGTGGCTTTCAAGGAATGAGATCCGTGACGCAATAAATTTAAAGGGGGAAGGGAAAGAAAGTTAAGAACTTAAGACTATAATTATTACCATCACCAAATAAATAATATATAAAAGAGTGCACAAGGGAAGGGGTATTAACACTGTACAGGGGAAATACACAATCGTCTTCTCCTGAAGACTCTGGATCCAAGTTCTCGGTGCTAAGTCCTCGGTGCTTTCGTGGCCTCACAACGAATCCTTTGAGAAGCTGAGCCTACCCTGGCCACAGGTCAGCCAAAACACAGGTCCACTGGGGGCACCGCCGTGGAGGCCGTCAACCACAAGTCCAGCAGGTCTGCTGGCAGGTTCCGGACCCGCAACGCTGGTCAGGCCACTCCACGAGCGACATTAGGGTAACGCCCTAGACAGGAGCCTCGTGTGATACCACAAATCACTCTCCTGTCCTCAATACCCCAGTGGATAATCGTCTCCAGCAGTCGGTCCCGGGTAAGACAATCCTTCTACTGCCACTCCACTGGCAGGGTAACACCACAGTGTTCTTCCGGGGGACGACTTCACAGCTGCTGCAGCAAAGCACAAGGTATGGAGACGGCTGCCTTGGGTAGACTGACTCAACTTTCATCACAGCAGTCCCAGGTCGACTCTGTAAGCAGACACGTCATCAATAACTGGGACACTAAAACACCTCACTTACAGGCTCAGACACAAACGCCCGACACATCCACTTCATAAATGGCGTTGTAGTCTGAGCACCACCTCACCAGAGGTCAGCAGCGGCGGTGTTGTGAGCTGCACAGGACTGGAAACTGGCCCTTGTGGCCAGTACACGCCGTCCTCACCAGGTGTCGTCGTCCGTTTGGAGGGGGTTTCGGGAGCTGACCCGCAGATGGCGCGGTCATCACTGCTCCGTGCTCGGACGCTGGATCCGGGTTCGTAACACAGTACCCAGTACCAAACGATGGTCCTGGAACAACCCCAAAGGGAAGGACGAGACAACCCTATCAGAGACGGTATGCAGTGATAGGAAAACCGGAAGGACCGCCAGGAAACTACACACTGCTGCCGAGACGAAGTACGCAGGTGGGAGACCAACAACGAAGCCACCCACACACTGGTGTGGGTGACCCACATAAGTGATGAGAACACGAGACAAAAACCCAAAGACGCAAAGACTCGAGGGGAAGAACGAACCAACCGTGTACTGGTTGCTTCGCCCTCGCGAGTGGACACGTCCCTTGGGTTCAGCTTTAGCAGTTTGCTTGGTAGTTTGGGGCGCCGGTTAGCAGTGCCCTGCCTGGGATAACCCTTAACAGACCCAGTCTAGGGGCCCTGGGAAACCCCCCGGGGGCTCTCGGGTCCGTTAGTGGAGACCCTTGCGTCCCCTCTCGCTTTGTGTGAGTTGAGGGTTGCTCTGTCCCCCTTGTCTCAGGGTGACTCTCCTTGTTTTTGCCTCCGTCATGCTGCCTGTTGGGTCGATGACACATTCGACCCTGAGTCCTGCGAGCTTTGTTGCTTGTTCGTGACTCCATTCACCCAGTCCGCTGTTGACTTCCCGTGGGTGCAGGCAGCTCACGCGTTGCAGGGTAGGATGTTGCAACGCGCTCAGGCTTGTCGCTTCCCCAGACGCCCCGATGCTGCTCCGCTTGTGTAGGGACCCAGACTTGGGTGTTTTGGTCGCTTCGGCCTTGGTTCTTCCACACTCCCCCTCCTGCTTCCGGTCCCTACGCATCTGCAGGCTTCGGGGTCGGGGCGGGGTTAGAGGTTCTGAGACTTGGGCAGTTTCGGGGGTTGCCCCGTCCGGGGTAGCTGCGGAGGCATTCGAGTCTGTTCCTCCGGCCGATGCTCCGGGGTCTGACCAGTGGGCCCCTTCTCTTTCAGCTCTCTCAGATGCCCCGACTTTTTCTTGTGGGGCCGGGGCTTTGGAGGTCGACTCGGCCCTGGGGCCTGGTGTAGAGGCTCCTGGGGTTGGGGAGGAGCGGCCTTGGGGGCCTTAGGCTCCATTGCGCCCCGCCTGGATTTCCGTCCTTCTGAGCGGGGCTTACTATTGCGAGGAGTGGGGTTTTCTTTCCCCCTCTGCGTACGATTTGGGCTTGGGTTCTGCTCCTCCCCGGGTTTGGTTCCGTGTCCCTGTGGTTTTTTCGGTTCAGTCTTCCGGAGGTTTTCGGCTAACCGCGTCTCTTCGCCTGCGGTGCGGTTGGCCTTTGCGGCTTACCTCCTGCGTGTCCCGGAGTTTGCCTCCATACTTGTTCCTTCTGTTCTGGACACGTTGGCGCTCCTTTGTTGCCGTTTGCGCTCCTTGTAGCAGTTTGGGCTACTGTCGCCGGTTGGGCTATTTCTCGCCTTGTTGGGCTCCTTGTAGCCGGTTGGGCTACTTCTCGCCTGGTTGGGCTATTTCTCACCTTGTTGGGCTACTGCTCGCCTTGTTGGGCTACTTCTCACCTGGTTGGGCTACTTCTCGCCTTGTTGGGCTACTTTCGCGTCCTGCGCATGCACCGTGGGAGTTTGTTTTGGTTCCGGGCGGTGTGCACACATGTTCTGCATCCATTTTCTCTCGGGGGTAGGCTTCGCCTCTCTCTTTTCTTAATCCAATCCGTGCCGCGTTGCTTTGGGGGTGTTCTGGGGTGCCGCTGTGGGGAAGTCACGAGGTTTTTCCCTGCGTTCTAGGGTGGGGAGCCTCCTTCGCTGCTCCCCTCCTCTCCAGCATGGGTCCCTGGCCGCCTCCGGCGGATACGGACTGGACTCGAAAGCTTGCGTCATGGTCATTCAGCGCCTATGTTCTGCAGGTGAATTGGTGCAGTTTGGCGTCTCCTTCGTCTTGACGCTGTTTTTGTTTTTGGGAGTAGGAATGGGTGTACATACGTACTTGAGAACGTGGACCGTATCACCTGAGGTGCCTACTGCAGGGCTATTAACCCATACTGGGCAGCTCTTGTTCTCTCCACCTGATTCCTTCCTCGGTTCACGGGTGTCTGCGGGTGGCCTCTTGGCCCTTCCGAGGCGGCTTCTGCCTGTACTCCTCTTGCCCCTCTCATATGCTTGTCTAACCTTGCTAGAGTTCGGGGCCCCGCCTCCACCTTGTTCCGCAGTGCAACGGTGGGGGTTCCTGTTTGGTAGTACGTTTTCCTGTGTCGGAGGTTTTGTGTTCGCCTCCTTGTGCTTGCAGGTTGGGTTCTGGCTCTTTGGTTCCGCCTCTCCCCAGTTGTTTGCCTGTCGGGCGGATTCTGTGCTTCTTGGGCGCTCTCGTCTCTGCTCTTGGGGCTGTGTATGGGGTCAGCCCATGTTGGGCTGCCTAATGTGTTCCTCTGTTTGTCTGTTACACTGCACACGTTTCTTCTACCATCCCTGTGGCTCAGTTGGGTGCTCGGTTTCTGCCTGTCCCCCCTTGTGTGCCACTCGTGTATGATTTATCTATCTTCTGTCGCTTCCTCGGGGAGTGTGGTGACATTTTGCTGCGGTTTTGGTACTGCAGCTGCGTGTCGGGGTTGGTTGTGGCGTTATGTTCGGCCCTTCCGTGCTCCCTCTGGGGCTCTCCTTCCTTGCCGGTCTTAATGTGCCAGGCCTGGTTTTTCCATGTTCCTCTGATTCTCTGTCTTGTCCTCGCCTCATTGTGATGGCTGGGGATGTGCTTGGGGTCTTCGTCTCGCCCCTCGCCTATCCTCCGGTTTCGGTTCAAGTTCCAGAGCCTAGTGGGCTCCCTTCCTTCGTGTTTTTCACGGCTGCCCTGGGGTTTTTCTTGACGCTGGGGCTTTGAAGGGACAGCTTGGCCCCGGGGCCTGCAGGGTGGGTTCCCGGGGCTGGGGTTGGGGCTGACGTGAGGGGCCTCAGGCCCTATTGGTCCTCGCCGGGGTGTTTCTACCCCTCTGGGCAAGGCTTGCAGTTTTGTGGTGTGGGGTTTTTCCGTTCCCCCTCTCCGCATGTGCTTTGTGGGCGTCGGCCCTCCCTGGGCTCGGTTTTCTTGTCCATTGTGCCCGTTGTTTCCGTCCTGTCGGTGGGTGCTTTTCTATAGTCTTCGCCCCTTTTTCTCCGGGACGGGCCTTCTATGTCATGTCCCCATCTTCTTGGGGTTTCTGCATGACTTTTGGGCTCAGGTGCGACAGGGTTTTTTGTGCCTTCGTCCTTTGTGTCTGCTTCTTTTTGTTCTCGAAGGTTCGGGACGGTTTAGCTCCTTCCCGTATTCTGGTACGTATGTCGTCATTCGGTTGAGCTTCCCTCAGGTCCTTTCTAGGGCTTGTGGGTCCTCTTCCCGGCAGCTTCTGGGTGTTTGGCCTTCTTGTTCTTTTGTGCTAATCTCTTCTTTTCGCGCTGTCTCGGTGCTACTTGTTTTCCCGGGGGCGATTTTGCTCTTCTTAATGAGTCTTTTCGCTCCTGCCCTTCTGCGGGATGTTGGTGCGGGGCGGCTCCTTATGCGGGTTCCTTCCCTGTCGGCTGCGCTTGTGGCATTTTCGTGTTGGTTCTGCATTTTTCTTCTCCCTCCTGGGGCTGTCATAGGATTGGCTTGCGGAGGATGTAGAGGCGCTTGGGGCCGTTCCTGGGTCTGGCACCTTGGTTTCTGCTGCTAGTTTTCGGTATCGACATTCCTTCTGCGCCGTTTTGCAGGTTGTATCGTGCGTTTTCTCCTCCGGCCTGCTTATGCACTGCCTGTGTCGTCCTGGTCTTTGGACAGGGTGCTCTCCTGTTTTTCTCCTCCTTGGTGGTTGTGGCTCCTTGGGGTCAGGTTTGCTTTGCCTCGGCTTTCTTTTTATGTTGGCATTGGCCTCTGGGGGTCGTGTGGCAGAGCTTCTTGCTCTTCTTAGGCGCAGGGGTTTTTGGCTCCTATGGTCATGGTCATAGGTTTCTTCGTCTGCGGCCGTTCTCCCTTTTTTCTGGCGAATGATGTGCCTGCTGCTTTCCGGAGGGGTCCTTGGGTTGTTGTCTCGTCTTCGTGTTGAGGAGTGGTTCACCGACCGCCTCCCGGGTCTGTCCCCTTGTTTTCTTGGGTAGTCTTTGGTGAAGTAGCTCCGGGCAGCTGTAGGGGCTCCCCCCAGAAAACCAGCGTTGAATGTAATGAAATGCCATTTTCTGGGTGAGTCCCGGAGGCTCCCCGGCACCCTCCCGCCCTCCGGTCGGTGGGTTTCTTCGCGGTTTTGATATCCAGCCTCAGAACTGGGGCGGGAATCGCCGCGGGGGTCTGGGGCTCCCTCTTCCCCCTCCCGGGGAGGGGGGAGCTGCGCAGACATGCGGCGCTGCTCGTGTGACGTCATGCTTGTTAGTTCTTTTTCCTGGGGGAGTTCTGTCCACTCGTTTGTCAATTTTTGTTGTTAACCAGAATAGGGGTTTGTTTTGTGGAGCTTACCTTTCTGGGTGCCTGTCCCGGTCGATGGCAGATATAGAATGCTCCAAATCACATGTGCATTTCTATGGGCCATTGCTCCCTGTGCCTCTCTGAGGGGGCCAGGTTCTGGCTCGTGGTCCCCGGTAGGCCTAGAACTCCACCTACATCGACTGATGCAAAATAGTTAGGGTATCCATATCAGCCATGGATAGCTCCGGGGAGCCTCCGGGACTCACCCAGAAAATGGCGTTTCATTACAGTCAACGCTGGTTTTTTTCCATAAATTTCTTCTTCAAAATGCTATTAATATATCTTCACTTATGTAATTTCAATCATCTTTTACATAACTAAAAAAAAAGCTTTCCACCATCTTGCATTGACAGTCGAGTTTAATGTGCTGTACTCAATAATCCTGACTTGAATAACTATTACACCCTTTCCTAACACCCTTTGCATGACTTTATATATGTACATATCAAATTGCCAAATTTATATTATACAATCTTGACTGTATACATTTTTATAAAACGAGCAACTTATGCTCAGTGCCCTCTATAATTACTAAATACACTGCTCAATTCAATGTGCTTTCTCTAGATACACAAAGACCACATTCATCATGGAATATGTTAACTTTTTTAAATCTACATTGTAGAATTATCAAGCTAGAAACCAAGAAATTTCTCCTTTACAGGGAGAATACCAGTTGGCTGGTGATGTGTTACAACATGCTCAGGAAAGATTCCCTGCTTATGGACAGCATTCTCACACTTGGATGTTTGCTCATAACCACATTACACTCAATGACCTTCTCCATCAAGGACGCTGGACAGAGGCTCAAATTGTCATCACAAACATGGCCACATCACATCCAACTGAGGCTAAATTAAGGTTGATAATTATTTATGCCATGTATTTTATTTTCTCTGTTATGAATTGTGGAAAGTAAGATAATTATCAGGATAAGCCATTAAGTCGTTATGACTATATAGCACTTGGAAGGAATAAGGGTAAGGGTTTGGGATAGGAAAGAGGAAAGGAATGGTGCCCAACTCCTTGGATGGTAGGGGATTGAATGCTAACCTGCACGAAGCGAGACCTTCACTTTACCGTCTAGTCCAAGTGGTTGGATTATGTGTAGTGTGGAAGGCAGCTGTTGATTTTTAGCATGGAGTCAAAGATGATAAATATTTGTTTTGTTACCTAGCGGGAAAGGTAGCACTTTAATGATATCAAAAGTAATTACAGTCTGCAATCTCAAAATACAGTAGCTCCAGACACAGTTCAATGTATTTATCAGTAATTTAATAGTTAGCATTGTGCTTCTTAATACTCGATGAGATATTTTATAACATTAGGTATCCATGTGATATCTAGAGAATAGTGTACCTAAACATATCAGCAAAGATGTTCATATATTTCTCTATTCCCCACTGGTAGAGAGTTTATATAGACAGTGAACTTTACTTGTGTTGGACCTGAACTGTGTAGTACTCCACTGGTAACCTATCTCCAATCTGATACATTGCCTCTCTTTACCACTTTCATTTTTTGTGTCGGAAAGTTTTTCATCCATTTCAGCAATCTGCCTGTCATCCCATCTAGCATGTTCTGGCTTCCAACCATTTACATGGGACTTAGGTCAGCTTAACCATCTCTTTCCTGTAAAATCTCTGTGGCTCTAAGTAGATATCTTGCATAGGATCTTCCTGTCTGAAAGCCATACTGGCTGTCTTATTATTATGTATCATGTAATTGGGGAGAACGGCAAAAACATGAGATCGGAATTGAAGAACATAAGGAAAGCGTGTAGAATTATGACTGGTAACAGTGCTGTAGCAAACCATAGTTGGAAAAAAGGATCACAATATTGATTTAAAAAACCCAATGTTGAATGTAATGAAACGCCATTTTCTGGGCGAGCCCCGGAGGCTTCATGAAGCTATCCAAACTGATATGTACAATATTAGTTTGGGGTCATCAGTCACAGGACTTATTTATGCTTACCAGGGACCACGAGCCAGAACTTGGTCCCCTCAGGGAGGCAAAGGGAGCAATGGCGTATAATCACTCTATATTTAATTTAGAGTATGTCATATTTGCCATCGACAGGGAAGGGTACCCAGAAAGATAGGCAAAACAAAACAAGAGCTGGTGAAAACTCCCCCTATATATAAACTATATAAAATATGATGCACCCCCGACCGAACCAACCAAGCATCCATCATCAACGGACCCCCTCCGTAAGCTAGCCGTCTCATTCTTTGCTAGAAAAGGAGGAGAAGGCTGAAAAAGTACAAAACGACCTCCAGGACCAAAGAAGCAGAACCCTCTGCACCAGAGAAGAGCATGAAGTGCCCCAACCCGACCACCAGAAGCCATAGCCAACAAAAACACGGCCTTCATAAAACAATCCCAGACCAGACCGAAGGGACCACAACAAACTGAGGGGAGGAGAGAAAAGAGAGCACCAGGTCCAAAGACCAGGACAGCTCAGGCGACGCATAGGTATCTTCTTGAGGTTATCTTGAGATGATTTTGGGGCTTTTTAGTGTCCCCGCGGCCCGGTCCTCGACCAGGCCTCCACCCCCAGGAAGCAGCCCGTGACAGCTGACTAACACCCAGGTACCTATTTTACTGCTAGGTAACAGGGGCATAGGGTGAAAGAAACTCTGCCCAATGTTTCTCGCCGGCGCCTGGGATCGAACCCAGGACCACAGGATCACAAGTCCGGCGTGCTGTCCACTCGGCCGACCGGCACAGGCCGGAGGTGAAAAAATGCACGGGAAAGAATCATATCCCTGGCTAGCAGACACGCAGACTGGCTGGAAGCCCACACAAACCAGTCATTGAGGTAGGCCAGAACCCGAAGACCTAGCAGACGCAGATGGGCCACCATGACTCTGGTTAAACGCGTGAAAATGCGAGGTGCTAGATTCAAGATGAATGGAAAGCAACAAAAGCGGTAAGCCTGTTGCCCCACTACGAACCCCAACCAATCTCCGAACCCCAGATGAATTGGAACATGCCAATAAACGTCCCTGAGGTCCAGAGAAATCATCCAAGAGGCCAACTCGAGAAGAAACCAGACCTGGGACAATGTGGTCATCCAAAAAGAGGGGCAAGGAATCAAACGGTTCACATGGGACAAGTCCAGAATGAACTGAAGATCTGCACAGTCCGGTTTTGGCACCAGAAATAAGCGAGAACCCCACTTGAGAGACGAAATCGTTTCGACCAAGCCCAAGCAAACCCACTCCGAGATGACCCGACTGAGGGAGTGGGGAAAGGGCCGATGAGACCTCTGAAAAGCTGACTTCCGCACAGAGTGACCACAGCTCTGACCAGACGAAGAAGGCCCCGGGAAACACACTGGCTCAGAAACTGGCACCAAACCCTGTAAAACCTTGAACAACCGAAGCCCGAGCCCTGGTACAACCATCCCAAGCAGTTCTAGAGCAACACCACCACCACCCACCAGATCACCAATAAGTCGAAAATGGAGCCGCTGACAACAACTGCAACACAGTCCTCTGGAAATAACCAAGGACAGAAACGGAGACGAAGGCTGCAAAGCCATAGCCCAAGCCGAATCAAAAGAAAGGGCTAGGACGGCTTGTCAACACGTGAGACAAGAGGTGAAAAATGGAGACACCGCCTCCCTGAGGATCAGTGCATACAGCTACAAGAGGGCAGTCAAAACGAAAACCTCAGCTGAATGCCCCCCCCCCTCCCCACTCAACACCCCCCATATCCTCCAAAAGCCAGTCCAAGGACAGCTCCAGAAGGCCAAAGAAGCACAAGACCGAGGCTAAATGACCGCAAGTTTGATGGTCATCAGCCACCAAAGCAGCCAACAGAGTGAGAACCTGAGCATGCAACTGCACCAGACCCACATCATGAGGAAGCGCATTGGTGAAAAGGCACTCGTTGAGGAACTCCAGGGAGCCTTCCAAGAATACCTGCAACACCCAGACAACCTCTCGCCAATCAAGCATGCAGGTGCGACAAAAACCCCACCAAGCTCCAAGCGAAAAGAATGGGCAGTCTGCCAGCCAGGAAGACTCTGGAACCTCATAGTGCACCCAATATGGGAAAGAAGAGTCGAATTCAAAGTTCTTATGTTGTGGTAAGTTCATTCTCAAACGAAGAATGGACTTGTATATAGGCGTAACCCAGGTCTAGCAGGAGGTATGCACCAAGGGCCTCCCAAACCTCCGCAGGGAAAATCTGAGAGGAAGTAAACCTCCGGAAGGATGAATCCGAGGAACCCAAAGGCACCCGGAAATGGACCCAAAGGGAAGCCGCACCCATCTCAAATTCAAACAGGGAAGGAGGATACGAAAACCCTCGCCCCTGCAACAGTAACCCCTGCTTAAAAGGCACAAGGACCCAAGCAGTATCAAGTGAACTCGCCTCGAGTCCCTGGAACCCCTGACACAGGCCCCAGGGCAGAGCCTTCATCCAGACCCACCACCCCTGAAGAAAAGGCAGAGTCCAGGGGAAAAGCTTCAAAGAAGGTAGTCTGCTGGGTAGACCTAGAAGCTTCAGCAGCAAAATCAGGCTGAACTTCGCCCTAGATGCACTTTAGTTCAGGACCCTTGTTGGTGCAGTAGTACTCCAGATTGAAATTCTTTTACCATGTCGTGGTACAGCTGACTAGAGCGCGTCTGGGAACACTCGGCGCATAGGTTCGAACCCTCATCAAGGCTCTTGTGGGTTTGTTCTTTTATTCATTACACTATTAGTTGTATTGGGCAGTGTTCAAGAATATTTAATTGTGGATACCTTCTTATTACTTTTACTGATCTATTATACTTTTTAATTAAACTTTTATTACAAATACTGAACATGATCTTTTAGCTCCATATTTGTACTTTAGTGACACTAAATAACTGTCTCATGTTCTTTGGTAATTTTAAATAAACTTTACTTGCAGGCAGTGTGAACTTTTAGTGGCCAAGGGTGAGCTGACAGGGGCATGGGAGCTTCTTGGTGCCTTGCAAAAAGACCCGGAAATTGTAGGGGAGTTGCGAGTGAGACTCCTGCTGGTAGAGAGTTGTGCAGCTGTTGCAGGCGGAGGGAATGCTGTTGCTATACCTTTACTGGTAGAAGCTCTCACTACTGCACATGATCACCATCTAACCTATTTGGCAGCACTCACACATCTACACACAGCTAATGTACAGGTAACAAATAAATTACAGTTCTAATGTATTTTTATTAAAATCATTGAGCACTTGTGGACAACATTGAATAAAACCACTTTCTGTAGCAGAGGATCCCTTTACGCGTCGTTTGATAAGGGTCGGACACTGATGAAATGTTGAATAAAGAGTTCCGACGCTGCATAAGGGATTTTATTACATACTATATTTGTATTGCTTTCATTCAAGTTTAGCATTATATTTCAATGCAAAATTAAATAAATTTTGTGAAAATAGGATTAAGTAATTTTTTTTTTTTTTTTTTTTTTTTGAAGAGATCCTTCAATAGTGTGCTGAGCCAAAGCCTAAATAGTCCACCCAGGATGCTATTTGGCTTATCTCCATGACAAGTAATGTTACAAATGGTCTTGCCATGTAAATAGAGTGGTGGTGACAGCCAAGTGTGTTGAATAAACCACCAAGCGACCGCTCTCAATAACACAGTCATGAAACCTCTTAATAACTCTCTCTTAAGCAATATCTGGACTCTATAAGATGCCCAGTTATAACTGTTAGCAACTAGTTCCATAACCAACCACTACAGTGACTGCCATCAAATAGCAAGACTGGCTATCACAACACAGAGGTGTTGACAACCCAGACTTGTAGAACAGGCTGAGACAAGAAGAAAGAGGATGCAAATACAGCATAAAAAGGGTGACTTGCCTATGCAAATGAATAAAGCCAGTTGGTATTGCAGGGAGGACCCCCCTGACCTGACCTATATAACCATGCAACCAGGTACATTATTATACCTGTCTATAATTCTCGGGATCAACATTCCCGTGGCCCGGTCTTTCACTAGGCCATCTGGTTGGTGGTCTGGTCAACCATGCCATTCAATGCAACTGCTCACAGCCTGACATGAGAGACACAGCCTTGTTGATCAGGTATCCTTGGAAGATGTTTATCAAGTTACTTTCTGGGGGGAAGCCCCTTCAGCTCCCGGGAGCTGTCCAGGCTGATGTGTATATTATTAGATTTTGGCATCAGTCAGTGTGAATGGAGTTCTAGGCCTACTAGGGACCACGAGTCAGAACATGGCCCCCCCCTCAGATAGGCACGAGGAGCAATGGCCCATAGAAGTTCACCTGTGTTTGGAGCATTCTTTGTCTGCCATCGACCGGCCAGGCACCCAGAAAGGTAAGCGCCTCAAAACAAACCCCTATTCTGGTGAAAAGACTACAGAAAACTAATGAGTGGACAGAACTCCCCAACTGAAAAATGAGCAAACGAGCATGACATCACACTTGCCGCACCGCTTGTCTGTGCACCTCCCCCCTCCCTGGGAGAGGGAAGGGGGAGCCCCAGACCCATCACTCCTGTCATCGACCTGTCAGTTCTCGGCTGATGTGATTGTGGCTCGGTCGTGTGGCTCCAGCTCCTGATTCTCTCTGTGTTGTGCTGTACCTTTTGTCCAGTACTACTCTTACGGTAGCATACAAGCTGGGAGTAATAGTCACATGTACTGCATGTTCTTAGGGTTCCCTTCCCCTGAGTGCCTTGTAAGTACCGCCCTTGGGTCTTCGGGTTATCTTCCACAAGCCACCTTGGGAATCTTCTTGAGTTATCTTGAGATGATTTCGGGGCTTTATAGTGTCCCCGCGGCCCGGTCCTCGACCAGGCCTCCACCCTTAGGAAGCAGCCCGTGACAGCTGACTAACACCCAGGTACCTATTTTACTGCTCGGTAACAGGGGCATAGGGTGAAAGAAACTCTGCCCATTGTTTCTCGCCGGCGCCTGGGATCGAACCCAGGACCACAGGATCACAAGTCCAGCGTGCTGTCCGCTCGGCCGACCGGCTCGGGAAGGTGGCTTGTGGAGGATATCTTCCACCACCTCTGTTGGTCTCTTGCTGCTTGGTGATTGACCGCCCTGGGAGTGTTTGAGGGGTTTCCTTCTTCCTTGTTTACCTTGGGGTAAGTGGTAGTTTTGTACTGGTAGGGGCACGGGGTACTGTGCAGCTAGTTTTAACCAATTACAGCAGCATGCTCTGTTCCTTCTAGGTACGTTGTCCTCTTGCGGAGTTTTTCTTTTCATTTTTGTTTCTGCCTTGTGGGGGGTGGGGTCTGCTCTTGTTCAGCTACCCCGAGTTATAGTAGGGTCTTGACCTACCTCCTTTGTTCAGTGGTACCCCCCTTCGAAGTGTCTGAGGACTTCGGGGTCGGGGCGGGGTTTAGAGAATTCTGAGACTCGGGCAGTTTTGGGGGTTGCCCCTTCCAGGGTGGTGACGAAGGCATTCGAGTAGGTTCCTCCAGCTGTGTCAACAGGGTCTGACCAGTGGGCCCCCTTCCTTCCTGCTTTTCCGGCTGCCCTGGCTTTTTCTTGTGAGGCCGGGGCTTTGGAGGATGACTCGTCCCCGGGGCATGATGTGGAGGTTCCTGGGGATGGGGAGGGGTTGACTTGGGGGTCTTGGGCCCCGCTGGATCCTGCCTGGGTTTTCCAACCCACTGAGCGGGGCTTTTTGTTACAAGGAGTGTGGTTTTCCTTCCCCCCCTCCCTCTGTGTACAAGTTGGATTTGGGTTCAGCCCTCCCTAGGATCGGTTCTGGATCCCTTCGGGTCCTTCGGTTCCATCCTTCTGGAATTTTTTGGCTTCCTGCGTCTCGCCTACCGAGTTGCAGGCGGCCATTGTGGCTTACCTCCTGTGCAAGCTGGACTTCGCCTCTACAGTATCCACTCGATTTAACGGCCTATTTGGGGCTGTACCCAGGTCATTATTTCCGGAGCTCCAGTATTTCCGAAGTTGTCGAAGTGTCGGTAATGTTTCAAGTAACATTCAGGTAAGATATATTTTATATAACTAAAATGAAATAAAGTTCATTGTGTAATTGCATTCCAAGTTAGTTCCTGTGTTAGTGCCCATTCCATCACAGGTTACAATTAATAATTCCCTCATATGACAAGTTGGATCATACAAGTGGACCACACAACAAGTGAACCATATTAACCAAACACCTCTCTCATCCCCACTCTCCCTTCACCCCCACTCTCCCCTCACCCCCACTCTCCCCTCACCCCCACTCTCCCCTCACCCCCACTCTCCCCTCACCCTCACTCTTCCCTCACCCCCACTCTACCCTCACCCCCACTCTATCCTCACCCCCACTCTACCCTCACCTCCACTCTTCTCTCAACGTCACTCTTCCCTCACCGCCACTCTTCCCTCACCACCTCCCTCCCTGCCTCCCATCCCTCCCTTAACCCTCAAACCGCGAGGGGTCTAAATGGCTTCAACACCCACAGGCGCAACAACAACAAAAAATCCAAAAAATTCTTTTGTCTTATAAAAGTGTTCACTTGTGTTCACTGATCATGGAAAAAATAACAAAAATTGTAGGTGGCATATTTTAGCCGCAATAGGGTAGGGAAGTGTGGCAAAAAAGGGGCGTTCAGAGCTTTCGCCAGATGAGGTCTACTCCGCCCGAGCTGTCAGGTGGCAGTTTTCAAGTCGAGGTGCCACTGTATTGTGATATATTCATATAATAAAATATGTGAACCATCTCTGTACTCAAAATTATGGTGTGCATATTAGTGATTCATTTATTATGTTCATAAAACAATAAACAAATAGTTTTGCTGTTATTACACTATATACACAGGTTATATATAAGTATCTGCATGTTTTGCTCACCATAACGAACCACTAAGTTGCCACAAATATATTATTACCTAATTATTTCAATGTCTTTTTTTTTTTTTTTTTTTTTTTTTTTCAGTAATATTATTCAATAGTGTGTACAGTGGGGCCTCGACTTACAATGGTAATCCGTTCCCAGAGACGGATCGTAAGACGAAATATCGTAAGTCGAAGCGATTTTTCCCATAAGAAATAAAGGGAATTGAATTAATCCGTTCCCCCACCCTCCAAAATATTAACTTACAAATACATTTTATACTGAATACAGTGGTTTTTTCCAACTACAATACAGTGCATATGTTTATCTTACGTTTATGGAGGACTCATGATGCGTATGGAAGATGGTGAGGAGGGGAGGAGGAGAGGTTTTACTGTTTGGAAGGGGAGTCCCCTTCCATTATAACATCAGGCAGTGATGACTTCTCTGGTGTACACTCTCTCCTACTTTTTGCCTGCATACTACTAGGACCTGGTTGTGATTCACTGCTTGTTTGTCTCACTAAACACATTTCTAGCGATTTTTGTTTTTCCATGTGTTTTAATTTTTGTCTGTAGTGAGACATCACAGTGTCATTAAAAAGGTTAAGGCAACGGCCTACTGCACCGTGATTTGGGTGAGTCGTTTCAGCAAAAGTTTGCAATTCTTCCCATGCTGCACACATTTTCTTAATGAGGAAGGGACATTCTGTACTGTCTCCTCCTCCCCTGAAGAAATTTCCTCAACTGTCTCTTGTTGCTGCTTCTTGTGAAGTTCTTCGGTGATCAGTTCTTTGCTGTGTTTCTCCACCACCTCGTAACACACAACACTCAGAACACTATGAATGCCACTTTTTCTAAATTTCTCAAACCATCCCCTGCTTGCCTTGAACTCTTTCGCACTTGCATCACTCGTTCCAAGCATTTTCTTTAAAAGGTCTTCATGCAATTTCCTTGCTTTTTCACAAATGATGGCCTCCGAAACTCTATCACCCGCTAACTCCTTGCTGTGTATCCAAATTAATAAAAACTGTTCAACATCCTCAAGTGTTTGTGTTCTATGTTTTGTGATTATTGATATGCCTTTTGCCACTTTAGTACTCATAATGTCCTTTTTCTTAGCCAGTATGGTGGATATCGTTGACTGAGATTTGTTGTACTGCCTAGCTAGTTCAACAACCCGCACACCATCTTCATATTTACGAATGATCTCTTGTTTTTGCTCAATGGTCATCCTTACATGGATTTTCATATGTTGAACCTTACCACTGACTTTCTTGGGACCCATGGCGTGATATATAATAATTACTTTTATGTTCAAAAAGCAAAAAAACACCACAAAAACGGAATTTCTTTAAGGCGTGAT